ATTAGAACCTTGGAAAGTACCTGCAGCCAGGTGAGAGACACCAGCCAGCACAGCCAGGCTCCCACTGGCCAGGCCCCAATCCATGGGGGACCACCCAGCGCCTGGGATTCCTTGTCAAACCCAGCAACACTCAGCCCAGCCTGTTCTTACTGCTACGCCCCAGAGCGGGAAAGGAACCCAGGAGTCCTGGAGCCCAGCCAATGTGCCCCTCTAACTTTTTAGAATATAAGAACGGCCAGACTGGGTCAGACCAACGGTCCATCCAGCCCAGGATCTTGTCTGCCGACAGTGGCCAATGCCAGATACCCCAGAGGGAGGGATCACAACAGGTAATCCTCAAGTGATCCCTCCCCTGTCACCCACCTCCGGAGAAACAGAGGCTAAGGACACCATTCTACCCATCCTGGCTAATAGCCATTGATGGACCTAACCTCCAGGAATCTATCTAGCTCTTTTTTGAACCCTGTTAAAATCCTAGCCTTCACCACATCCTCCGGCAAGGAGTTCCACAGGTTGGCTGTGCGCTGAGTGAAGAAAAACTCCCTTCTGTTTGTTTTAAACCTGCTGCCTATTAATTTCATTTGGTGACCCCTAGTTCTTATATTGTGAGAATAAGTAAATAACTTTTCCTTATTCACTTTTTCCACGCCAGTCATGATTTTATAGACCTCTGTCACATCCCCCCTTAGTCTCCTCTTTTCTAAGATGAAAAATCCAAGTCTTTTTAATCTCTCTTCATATGGGACCCGTTCCAAACCCCTCATCATTTCTGTTGCCCTTTTCTGAACCTTGTCCGATGCCAATGTATCTTTTTTGAAATGAGGTGACTACATCTGTACGCAGTATTCAAGGTGTGGGTGTACCATGGTTTTATACAGAGGCATTAAGATATTTTCTGTCTTATTCTCCACCCTTTTTTTAATGATTCTTAACATTCTATTTGGTTTTTTGACTGCCGCTGCACAGAGTGGATGTTTTCAGAGAACTGCCCACAATGACTCCGAGATCTCTCTCTTGAGTAGTTGTAGCTAAATTAGCCCCCATTATATTGTACGTATAGTTGGGATTATTTTTTCCAATGTGCATTACTTTACATTCACCAACATTACATTTCATTTGCCATTTTGTTGCCCAATCACTTCGTTTGGGGAGATCTTTTTGAAGCTCTTCACTGTCTGCTTTGGTCTTAACTATCTTGAGCAGTTTGGTATCATCTGCAAATTTTGCCACTTTGCTGTTTCCCTCTTTCTCTAGATCATTTACAAATCAGTTGAATAGGATGGGTCCCAGGACAGACCCTTGGGGGACCCCACTAGTTACCTCTCTCCAGTCAGAAATCCATGTGCAGAATAAATTGTATTCTGTGCACCAGGGCATGCGCAGATGTGCACCACCAACAGAAACACCTGCTGCTGGCTGTCGGTGCTCTGCTAATTAGCTGGGCTGATTTGAATCTCTCTTGGGTGGCCACCCAAGTGCCCAGCTTACAGGGAACACTGCTTCTGGCCCGATCTCTGGCTAAGCAGGGATGGGATGGGCCTGTAGATGTTGGGGAGATGTTAAGGGGTGAAGCCAGGGGCTCAGTAGGGGGAGCTTTCCCCTCCCGGTCAGCGCTGACCCCAGTGAGGCAGGAGGAGGGGGCTGTGCTGATCCCGGGAGATGTGGGTAGGATGTGCTGTCAGCAAGACTTAGCTGAGTAGGGGGATGCACATGCTGTTTTTCCCAGGCTATGATATACCAGGGGCAGAGGGGAGGGGGAGTGGAGCCTGCGACAGGGCCCCTCAGCTTCTCCTCCCTATCTGGCCTCCTTCGTTCTCCACTGCTGGGCTTTGAAATGTAGGAGGGGCTCAGACACACACAAACTCCGACCCCAGCCTCCAGCTGGCCTGGGCCCCACACTGCGGGTTAGTATTAGGGATGTAACAGTCTAGTCCAGTGGTCCCCAACCTTTTGTGGCTGCCAGGTGCCCAGGGACGGGGCCACTCATGCACCGGGCACTCGGGGGCGGGGCCGCTCACACGCCGGGCACTCGGGGGCGGGGCTGCTCACGCGCCGCGCTTCCGGGGATGGGGCCATGCATGTGCCGCGCGCTGGGGGTAGGGGCCGCCCATGCGCCCTGAGTCCAGGGCCGGCACCATGCATATGCCGCACGCCAGGGGCAGGGCCAGCCCAGATCTTTCGGCGGGAGCACATAAATGCTCCGGCAGGCGCCATGGTGCCCACGGGCACCGCACTGGGGACCACTGGTCTAGTCCATGGGTTCCCAAACTGGGGGGCGTGAGGTGACCCAGCCACACCCCCCCCATCAATCCCACCCCAAGTTTTGCTGTTATTTTTTTGGGAGGGGTGGTGTGAGGGATTCTCAAAAATCAAAAAGGGGGCGCGATGTCGAAAAGTTTGGGAACCGCTGGTCTAGTCGATTTACCAATTAACCGATAAGAAAAAGCTTATAGGTTAGCGCTGTAGACCACGCGCATTCCCCCTGCCCCCTCCCCGCCAGCAGCCCGGCTCAGTCCTGGCTCACGCTAGGTCCAGGACCTACCCCCGCTGCAGCTCTGCATTGGAAGTGTATTAGGAGCCGGGCGGGCAGGCAGCCCGACTCAGTTCCAGCTTGTGCTAGGTCCAGGAGCTCAGACCATCCCCTAGACAGGGGCTGCTGCCACCCTGCACCGTTGCCTCTGTATCAGAGGCAACAGCACAGGGCCACAGCATAGGTCCACAAGGGGAGCTGGATTTTAAACTGGCTCCCCTTGTAGACCATCTCTCACCTAACACCCCATGCTGCGGTCTCTGATACAGTGGCAGCAGTGCAGTCTGGCAATAGCCTCCTCAGGAGTGGGGCTGGAGCACACTGGCTGCCGGCCCCACTCCCCGGAGACTATAGAATAGTCGAGTAACCAAAAAGAATTAATTAGGTTAATCGACTATTCAGTTAACTGATATTTAACATCCTTAGTCTGTTTCAGCAAAACCAACGAGTCCTCAGACCTTAAAGACTAACAGATTTTATTTGGGCACAAACTTTTGTGGGCTGGAGCCCACTTCGTCATATGCAATATGGCAATGGGCATGCCAATTTAGTTCCACCCTGATACTGTCCACTTTGTTAGTCTTGGTTTTGCTCAAGAAACATGTCCTGACAGTCACATATTTTATTAAGTTCTAGACAAACACCAGTGGTTAGAGACAATCTGCATCAAACTAGAAAAGACATTCATATGAACATTCCTCCTCCAAGTTCTAAGCAACAGATGAACAAATCTTCTGTCTTGCATTCGAGGCAAGTTTCCTAGATCCTTCAAAAAGAGATTAATGCCCCGTTTGTCTCCCCTTCCCCAAGACTGGCACAGAAAGATTTCAATGACCTGTTTCTATCTTTCATTACAGGATAAGCTGTTTGCTTTAAGTGAGTAATGTACAGTAGTAGCTTCTTTGAAGGAAATTAATTTCTGGAGGGCAAACCATGCTAAGTGTTCAAGGGACAAATCAAACGGAAAGAAATTCATCTGACTAGACACAAAAATCAATAATGAAAACAGAATGGTTCCTGAGAAATTTCATGTAACTGAATCTCTGCTGAATTACCCTAATATTCAGGGCTGAAGAGAGGAATGACCTACAGATGTAACCTGGGAACCAAGAGTTTTGTGTGTGTCTCTGACCCCCACATCCCCCTTTTCCCCCCACACCCTGGGGGCAGGGCTCTGGGGCCCCCCGGCCCCATTCAGCAGTAGGTCGGGGCACAGAGCTCTAGTTTTGTTTTACAGCCTCTGAGAACCCACCACCCTGCTGGGCTTTTATCCCCATATCTGGGGTGGGGAACCCAAGGCACAAGGGGGCCACTGGCCCAAGTTTACCCAGCAGAGCTGGGAGTAGAACCCAGGTGGCCCTTCTCCTTGCACATCTTCCCTACCCATTGCTGTGTACCCCACTAGCCCCCCTTCCCTCCCATTCCCGGGGGTGGAACCCAGGAGTTCTGACTCCCTGCCTCCCCACCCCGAGCTGGGGGGAGCCCCGGAGTCCTGTCAGAAGCCAGCTCTGTGATCCAGCCCTCTGCCCATGGTGGTTCCAGCCTCCCCCCGGGTGGCCCTTCTCCTTGCACATCTTCCCTACCCATTGCTGTGTACCCCACTAGCCCCCCTTCCCTCCCATTCCCGGGGGTGGAACCCAGGAGTTCTGACTCCCTGCCTCCCCACCCCGAGCTGGGGGGAGCCCCGGAGTCCTGTCAGAAGCCAGCTCTGTGATCCAGCCCTCTGCCCATGGTGGTTCCAGCCTCCCCCCGAACCCCCCTCCAGTCTCCAGCGTCCCCGGGGCCGCCGAGCCGTGGCGCTGAGCTGTGACACTGTGACACAGAGGCCCTGGACGAGCGGTCAGACAGAACCTGCGAGGCACTGGAGCCTGGCGCGCCGGTGGCAGT